TACACACACACACACACACACACACACACACACACACACCATACACGTAACCCCAGAGCTGTAGGGACTTGCTGGCCTCCAGCCTAGTTCTAGATTTAGTGAGAAACCCTGCCTCATAGCAATAAGGTGGAGAGGGATAGAGCAGGAACTCACCATCCTCCTCTGGTATTTTTTTTTTTTTTTAGTTTTTGTGAGACAGGGTCTCCCTGTAGCCCCAGCTGACCTACAACTCTCTATGTCGACCAGGCTGGCCTGGAACTCAGAGATCCACCTGCCTCTGCCTCCTGAATGCTGGGATTAAAGGGGTGTGCCACCATTCCCAGCCTCCTCTGGTCTTTGTGTGAGCATGGGCACATACCCGCCCACACACACTAAATTTTTTTTTTTTTTTTTTTTAAGTGGGCTGAGTGTGGTGGTTCATGCCTCTAATCCCAGCACTTGGCGGGCAGAGGCAGGTAGAACTCTGAGTTCAAGGCCAGCCTGGTTTACTTAGCGGCTTCTAAACTAGCTAGAGCTTAATAGTGAGACCCTGTTTTAAAAAAATTAAAAAAAAAATCACTAATCTGGGTTCCGGCCTCCCTCTAGCATAGGGGCTGGGAACTCAGGGGACTGAGAGCGCCTGGATCCTGCCCCCACGTGGTGATAAGTTATGCAATTTGGTAGTCTTTTAAAGTTAAAAAAAAATCACTAATCTGAGAAGTTAAGACTGAACACATTCCAGTAAGTTATTCTGAATATATATTATATACTGAATATTAACTATATGTTATATATTAAATGCATATTTACTTTTTGAAATTTTTATTTGTTTATTATTTATTTATTTATTTATTGTGTGCATGCATATGCCACAGTGCACACACACGGAGGCCAGAGGACAACCCTTGTGAGACAGTTCTCTCCCTCCTACCACATGAGCCCAGCGGGTGTAGCTCAGGTTGTCAGGCTTGGCAGCAAGTACCTTTATCCACCGAGCCATCTCACAGCCCCCTGCATATTTTTTTAATAGTGACATGCTGGGCAGGGTTCCCTTGCTGCCCAGCTATGTATAGACAGACCTCCCTCAGCTGCCTTCACTTCCAGGAGGGTCCCCCCCCCACCCCATGCTCACCCAAACTGCAGGACTACAGAATCCACCAGGTGCTCCCATTCAGCAGGGAGGGGGCTGAGACTCTGTGAGTGCCTTTCCAGTCTCTACAAACCTGCCCCACCAGATCCTGCAGCTGGCTCCTGGATTTCCAATTCCTGGAAATTCTGAGCCTAGATTTCCTGTGGGGGTGGGTGTGGGTGTGGGTGTGGGTATCCCTGAACTCCTGCAGCCTAGACCTCCCGGGCAGCCCTGGGATTCTGGGTCTGGGACCTCTTTATGCCAGGCAGCTGGGCTCAATTAGGCCAGTGATAATACAGGGCAGTGCAGGAAGGCCAAGACTAGGAAGCACAGATGTAGGGGTGGCTGTTCACACGAGGGAGTTTCCACAACAAATGTTCTGGGGGTGGCAGGGACAGCAGCACTAGAGCTGGAAGTTGG